AATGTTTCACGGGTACCAGCTAGTATATAATACGCCGTTTACCGAATATCTTAACCATGAAGGAGAAATCGCTTGAAGGTGGGAATGGTCTCATTGTTTTTCATGGTCTAAAATCTTGCACAAAAAATATGTCTTAATTGATTAATTTATTACTAAGTTGAATATTTTTTTTCTTTGATGTTACTTGTTAAGTGCTCTCTTTTGGGTTGGCCAGGCAGTCACTTCTATCTCAACGATCCCCTTCACATCTAATTGTCAAGTGCATTTTTCTTACTGCAATTAACAATTATTCATGAGGGAAATACTTCCTACCCGCCGAATGGTACATGTGACATATCAATCGCATGCTCTTGATGAAAAGATTGTGTTAGGGCATATTTCATCTGCGAAAGATGAGAAGAGAATTGGTAATTTTAATGTGTACCCACGTTGAACGGGGGGTGAGAGTGCCCGTTTTCGTTGGAACAGAAAGCCCCATGTGTGGTGAGAGGCAGCGTAATCGTATCTCCCGACTTCGATAGTGTAATGGTAGAGCGCCTGACTGACTATTAGGAGGTTCAGGATGAAGTCCCCCCCTGTCCACCGGATTTATTTCGTCCCCTCCTGCCAGCCTCGTGACCCCTACCATGCATTCCCAAAAGAAAAACTCTGTCACATGATTCATCCTAAAACGCATTGCTTTTGAGTTTTTGCTATGTACCCTAACTGACGAACCTCAGAGAAAACAGAATGAAAGCCGATCAAGCGAGCGGCATTCCTTCTATGTTTTGCCGATCGAGTGCGAAAGTCTGGTTAATTTGGTGGATGATGGGTCAGTTGGATTAGTAAATAACCGTGTCCGAAGGCCACGCGAACTACTTTCTTCCTTTCCGATGCAACATTTTTGTGCTTCTCGGATAGGACTATGCAGTTTCCTGGACCTCAACGATACACTCTGCTTCTTATCACTCTTTCTTTCCCTTACTGCTAATGAAAAGTTAACCTTTGGTTCCTTCCCAAGTAAAGCATGACCGTCCAAGTGGACGTTCAACCTCTGTTCAGTGAGGTTTTAGGACGTTGAATGTTCAAGGATGAGGAGCTTTTTAGACACTCATCAAAACCTCTAAATTATTTATTTCCCCAAGGTCTCAAATAAAAGCTTTCGCTTCGAATGGTCAGAGGTCGTCTTAGCGTGAACGTTAACATCGCTCCAGTGCTTCTTTTCCTGACGAAATCAAAGGTGCCCGTCAGATACTTACATTTTCAGAATTCAGTGAATACACTTACATCAATTTTCGCATTTGCATTTATGATCCACGATCGAAAAAGGCATTAACATGGAATTACAAAATGGAATTCACATGTCTCTTCCCGGCGGTGCCGCGTCGTCTGAAATGTATCTGCAATTAGAAGTGTGTCTTTAGCAGAGTCGATAGGGGAGGGTTGAGTGTCCTCGCATCGTCTAGACACACGTCAAATTCCGTCCTCCACTTTATCGTGTCGAAGGAGGGCCCCCTTAAAAACCCACGGGGCAAAGCATGGACTGTTGAGGGGTGATGCCCTCAATATTCGGTGCATGAGACGTTGGAATGGAGGAGCTTCCCTTCAACAGAATCCCAGTCCTGCCTGACATCCTTAACGTTTCTGTGAATTTCTAACATTTTCTGTGATATTCTGTTAAAACAATGAGTGGTCGACCTCGAGGAAGACCTCCTGGACACTCACGAGGTCGTAGAAGTGTTTCTTGTAGTGCTCGAAGGGAGCGAGAAACTGTAATGCTACGTATTGCGGTGAGATACAGCCGTAGACGGATTGCGAGAAAACGGCATTACATGACTCTTGATGCTATGCATACGACCGAAGATGGCATCAATCTCTTCTCTGTGGGCAATCAGTACGTGATGAGCCATTGGGAAGAACGATCAAAATAATATATTTGACAATTTTGAGATAGTGCTGACACCTACCCAAGCAACATGTTTACGTAAACAAGATGTCAATTTTTTGCAAACAATGTAAATTTATTGCGATTGACATGAAAATGGCATCACGTTTACGTAAAATTGACGTTACTATATTTACGTCACCGTGTATTTTACATAAACTAGACGTCACTCCATCTGACGTGAAGTACATGATATCAAGTTTATGCAAAGTTCACATCACACTTTCCATATGAAACTTTAGCTGACCATCCCGCAGTTGCAATACCAAGATTCCTCACTATATGGAACCCTTGTTCCCTACACCATACAAATGCTATTAAATACTGGCTTTCCCGATATAGTATCAGGTTTCTTTACCATTCTTCCACTTTTTATTATGCAATCCATGAATATATATATGGAAATCAGAACATTATCACATATTTTTTATAGTATATGACTCAGGGAATCATTAAATGCTGAAGCTAAGCTTCTTATTACAGTAGGCCATGGGATTACGGAAGAGTAGAATCCCAGCTCCCCAATTACCTTCTCTATCCTTAATGGAAGAGAACTTCTCTCAGCATTTCTTCCTCCTCCCGAAGGTCCTGTTACGGGAGGGGGAACTAGTGAGACATCTTGGTACTCTTGAGTGCTGGTGAGGATGAGTAATCATGTACTCGTTCAAGTAACCTTGAGTTCCAAAGAATGGAAAGGGATGGGGGAAGTACTGTGTATCATTTCGAAATCAATACTGCGTATTGATTTCGAATAATAAAATTAGGGATTCTGCCAAATGGATTCCTTCGGTTCCGGGTTTTTAAAAAATATTTTTCATTTAGATTTTTTTGTGAAGCGTCTTGGAAATGAATCTATTGTTCCAATTATTCATGCTCGATATTTGTGTAGCACCATATAAACTGGAAGAAAAAATTCATTCGTGGAAATTAAAGATGACTAATGGCAAGAAAACCTGCCGCAAACCGGAGGAGGCGAACTGTGAAGGACATGTAAGCAGCAAAGAAAGAAAACGTTATACAATTCCGCATATTTAGAGATTAGAAACCCACGAAGAAACTGCGGTGATGAGTTTCTTCTCTGAGTCCGTATATACTCAAGGGGTGACGAATCGCCCGGCAATTCATGACAGACGCTTGAAATCCATGAACACAAGCCATTACGTAGGATGTGCAGCTGTGAGCGATCCCCTGACGCGTCTCGCGCATAGTCTAGTCTCTTCGTAAAGCCTGAAGATGGGGAGACCTGAGTGAAACTCCACTTCCCGTGGATGTTTTCGCCCTTTCCGGCGTATTCTGACGTTTCTCTTAAAAGGCACCTCCTTCGAAGATGAAAAAGATTTATGTGAAAACTCCCAAATTCACATCTGGAAGCGTTTCGTCTGTAGGGCTGTCGCACATTCACACAAACATATATTTGTCGCCAGGCATAGCTAGCAGCGAGGAATGCTCACCTAACCGAGGTCCTCCGGTTTCAAACAACTGCCCGAAGATCCAAATAATGCAAGGAAAAACTTCATATGGGGGAATTCTTGCGAAAAGAAGAAAACAAAATGTTAACTTAGAATTTCACTGCATGAACCTTCGTTTTCCTTGAAAACTACTTGAAAAATACATGGATGAAAGAATAGAAAAGAGGATATGTCCTCATATTTAGTCGAGTAATTAATCCACTTTCCATGAAGAAGCTATTACCTTTCACCTGTTTTTATTTTTTAATGATTTATTAATGCTGAGGGATGGCAATTAACGTGATTAATGGGAGTCGTTAATTATAGGTGTACGAGCTACGCCGCAATTCTCTCCGTGCTCATGCAAATACGTACTTGCTTACCATGTCGACCGACACACATAGAGGTCATAGGAGGATGCATTAGCGATGTTTGCCTCTGACGTTATCCTCGGGAAAAGGCAGCTACGGTAAGCAGTCAATATTTATCTGTGCATGAGTCCGAGCAATAATCGTAAATCTTTACGGGAGCGGGGATCCATTGGATCCCCGCTGTACAAAAGAAACCGGTGTAGGTATCTAGACGATACAGACATCCGTGCGATTAAAAGGCTCCCATGTATCTATCCCAAGCTGATACTGGATATTATCATCTGGGCGTGTAATATCGTCTGGGCAACTGACAATAGCTTACCAACTAAAGAAATATTGCAATAACATGAACAAGAAATACTGTATATCTTCAGAAAATACAAATCCTGCAAATGTGGGTAAAACTGCCACTTATGCCGAATAGTAATGAGAAATTCTGGAACTATTAATACTTCCCCACACATACATATAATACCATTCCTCCTCCATCCTCCTCCTTCTTCCTCCACCTCCGATTGTATCCATTACATTATTCCTGCTTCTTTTTATTGGCCATGCATGTATGAAAACGATTTTCATACAATTCATACATGAAATGAAAAATATTGGCCACTACAATTGCGATCTGAAAGGCTGCATTCCTTGGCTGCAAAGCAAAATTTGAAGTCTGCCGCATTGAATACATTGTATTTATTACAAAATGGCATGGTTTGCCTAGAGTGGTAGGTAAGATTGATACTTAAACACAGCTACTGCTCAGGAAGGTAATGCGTGTATTCATTGAGTTTCCCAAGGAAAAGACTCTTATCTTTCACAAAAAATTCTTTCCATGATGTTTTTGAAGTACTGCGAAATCCCATTTTGCCATAATATACTAGTAACTTGGAATGTACGTTCAATACACCAAAATCCCAGTACAAACGTTTCTTTTCTGGCTAATTACTAATCTTCGCCAATGTTTCCCATAAGGAAGGAAGCAGAAAAACTGCTGAGGGAATGGTATAAATGAAAATGTAAGTGCGGAAATGCTGAGCTTCAGAATCACAATATGCATTCGTTTTGATTCGTTCAAAAACGAAACCCAAGAAAAAAAAGTAATATTGCACTCTTCCGTTTGACTTATTGTGACATTCACTGACATACTGTACACATTTCCAATGATTACAGCCAAAAAGAGTGTGTAAATCATGAGGGATATTGATAGTTCTTAGAAATACGAAGAATGCAACAATGTGAGAAGCAGAGTACATCGCATATCGCATAGTCGTCGATCTACGGATACGAAGATCCCTACGTCTTGAGTAATTTACGAGAATGGGCAAGATCGAGTGCAGCTATCCAGGTTTCCTCAAAACTTGGAGGGTTGTAGATGGGCGGATCTTCCCAAGTAAGGACTGTTTTCTCCGCTTCCTTCTTTCCGGATTTTCCTTCCATTTCAGGTCTCTCCCTCACTGTGAGGCATGATGAAAGAAATAATTTCCATTGCCTATATTGATAGTACATCAAATGTCTCCCAACTCACTGGTGATGATGACCAGTCGCTTCGGTCCTATCCTGTCGTGCCGAGGCTTTCTCCATCCATACAAGAGAAGGTCGAAGATCCACTCCAGCATTTCCAGAACGGAGAGGAAGGAGATTCCAGTGTAGAGACCCAACAACCCTCCCAATGTCCCGATGAAACTTGTCCACTGTTCCAAGTAGAATCTTGTGCATGGAATCATGAAACACATTTTGAGAAATGGTTGAAGACAATATACTTACAGGATATAGAGCACTCTCCACAGTTTTCGCAACGGCCATGGTTTCATAGTACACGTTGACGACAGCGAGATTCTCACTGTGAACAAAGTAAATAGCCATGGATTGTTCCGCATCTCATGCATTTCCAAAAGCATTAATTGGGTGTGCATGTATCTTTTATGAGACAGATTCAGTTCATTTTAGTTCGAGATGTTTGCTGTAATTCTTCCCCAAATCTACGAATAAAAACAGTTTGAATGCCAGCAAACTTCAGATGATGACAGTAGGTCATGTTATTCAGTTCGTCGTAGGTCATCCGTTTCTTGTTCTCGCTCTTCATCCAGGAGATGAGATCCAAGAACAAAGATTTCTCGCGGCCCATCTGCGCCGACGACAGCGACCATCGGAATGACTCCTCTCTGAAGCAGCAGAAATTTTCGTTCGGCTTTCGCGTCTTGGCGAAATGAGGCAAAGTAGGGGCTTACGTGCAAGCTTGAGTAGGACAACCGCAGAACCCATCGTCAGCGATGATTTTCCGATGAATTTGCAAGTAGGATGTAAAATAACCTAACGAAAGAAAAAAAAATTAATTTCTTTGAAAATTTCTGCAGTTTCGAAGAGATCTTTGGGAGTAATTAAGATTCATATATACTAGGAGGAGTTTCTCAAAACTTCTGCCAGTCACCATCGGAGGCGGCCGCAAAGTGCTGAACCAGTTCGGGAAACAATTTTTTTATTATACTAAAAAAAGGTTTTTCACCTGGTTGGATCTATCGCATGAAAAAATGCATTGAAATCGGTGGGGAGTATGTGGAAAAGGTGTGAAATATTTGCCTGTGGCAATAAAAATCAGAATTTAATAATGGAACACTAAATTTTTTATTTCTTTGAGGCTACTGGCTGAACTTCTGAGAAATCCCTCGTATAATCAAAACCCAACTTATGCACTGGAAATGAAGGAATCTACGTGTTAACCATGCAAAAATGATTTTGAATTTCTCACTATTCATGTTGCAATTTCTTGTTGCGTTCATGGGGACCAGCTGAACAGGATATGTAGGGCAGCCTCGGGCGTCCCCGGGCAGCATTTGAATCTCGCATATTTCCTGACACAACTGATCA